ATTTTGGTTCAAAGTTCACTTCCGCTACGGAAGGCCGAAGATTTTATTGGTTAATTTATGACAGCCGATGACAGCACGAAATCTCAGTGTGCGCACTCCGGCATGAAAGGCCAAGTGGGCGGTTTTCCAAAATCCAGGGGTTTGTCTGCAAGCGTTTCCTTCCTTACTTCCCCTCCCCATCCCCCCTCTTTTACTCGCTCTATTTTTCGCGCTGTATTATTCTTTGCTCCCGAACCCCACAGAAACGCTTGCTACGCAGGCTATCAAGTAGCCGGCGAAAGCGATAACAAATGATTTGCCTGATATAGATGAATGAACCATCAAATTGACTTGTCCAGTGGCAAGCCTGCCGTCAAGAAATCATTAAAAATGGAGGTTTTAAAACTAAAGAAAATTTGTATGCCTGACGGCATACATCGCGTGACTTCTGCCTATGCCTTAGCGTGACGCGTGCATGGTTAAGGTGCGGCGCTATCCAGCACATTCACATCGAGAGGCTGATGTGGCTTCCGCTCTAAATATTGAAAACTTTATTTAATCAAACTGAAATATAAATTACCTCACCTGAACAATATGGTCAAAGGAATCATGAAGTTTCCGAGAATGGCCTGGAGATACGGCGGAGTTCTCGACCCTTTGCTGGCAAAAACAACCAACGCTCCGTTCAGTGCATCACAGAGGCCGACTAAAAACAGCAGTGAGTTAGGAAAGCGCTTCTCCGTTTCACCGAGCTCTTGAGGTGAAAAGATTCGAATAAAAAGTGTTCCCAGTCCAAATATTACAACAAACGACAGACTTGCAAAGGATAACACGAAATAACTGTCCACCGATCTCCCTGAACGACGTCCATTTGTAGAGTCGATCCAAAGAGGTAAGGAGACATTTTGACCAACTTGACCGGCTATGGCGATAAAAGAGAAAAACAAGTTTGCCCAGAACAGCGGGATTTCTACATGTCCTATTTTCACCGTTTTGGCTTTTCCGTGAAGAGATGCAGGGTGCGTGGAGGTTGGGAAATCGGAGGCCAGCCTTTGTATTGTGGCTCGAGAGACAGTGCTGTTGGAGGGATCCATCTGTTTGGACCGTGGAGGCTTGGTTTAAATATTGTGGCACTGAGCAGACCTGAACAATCTATACAAATTGTTTTCTTCCTCAGTGTTTCAGCTGCGCTCACTTCTGCTTTCGCTTTGGCAAGAACGGGTGCTCCTTTCCTGAAATCAATTGCGTCATACGAGTCACATGCATGTTGTTGTTGCGCAATTGACGTCATAGAGCTATTGTGGCTGGAGCGCATAAGGGCATTGAATTACGGGAATCACCAATGTTACACCCCATTTAGGGAAAAAGAACCATGGTGCAATCATAGTACACTAAACAAAACTGTTGTGGTTTGACGTCTTACAACAAAAGTTAAAAACAAGCTAAGTGATGCAAATGATTGTGTGATTTTCTTAACCTTGGAAAGTTAAGTCAAGCAAGACTTGCATGCATTACAGCGTATCCATATTTGGTAATTGAATCACAAAAGGATGCAAAAACACGTAATTTCTGAGAAAAAAATGAGTCAAATTTGAAGGAAGATCGTTACGTGTTTGGGGATTTTTTGTCCAGAATTTGACAAGAAAGCAAGAGAACCGGCGAATCCACTCTGGTCACGGACTCACCGACTCCTTTCATGCACTATGATCTGAGTGAATTGGATCGCTTATCCTTATCCAGATCACCCCAAAGGAACGCACACTAATGCTTTTCTTTAAGAAAATCCAAGATTGGATTCTAAAATCCAAAAACGGATTTTGCGTTTCTTTACTAAACAGATTAATCCAAGTGTCATAAAAGTTTCAATTTAATTGTGTGACAGTTTATCCTATTTTTAAGTTGCGTGATTCAAGGAATCTGGGAATAATAGAAATCGGAAGCACGTGCCTGACAGTCTCAAATAGTTCAGTCGATGATTACCAGTTAATTAGCACCAGATTGTAAACGCGTTTCATCTTATCAACAAAACATGTAAGCTTGCGTGTCAGGTAATGATATTCCGTGATCAAACAAACTGTTGTAAGCCGATCAAATTAGGTTTCGCTAAGCTTCAATGAGTGCCGTATAGGCGTTGAGTCATTTTAGTACAAGTACACCGTCAGAGCGAGAGAGAAAAACGAATCTTTTGATCTTAAAATAAAATTTTGAAGTTTGCGAAGAACGACCTGTTGAATTGAGTAGTAAAGAAACGCAAAATCCGTTTTTGGATTTTGGAATCCAATCCATCGATTGGACTTTCTTAAAGAAACGCACTCTAGAAATTACTGTTACTCCTCATTTAGAGATAAACGGCATCCAAAAAATAACCATGGTGTAAATTCAATTGTCACCCCTCTGTACATGCAGTCAAATATGTGAACGGTCGGTTGAACTAATCAAAATCAAATTGCTGTGGTGGAAGTTTTGAGTGTTTTTTTTTCCGATTACACGACAAGAAAAGGTAATCGGATGACATCCCTGGTGGGTTACATGAACCAGAATTCGAGTTATCAGGGTAAATTTTTATCAAGGGAAACGAAATTTAGTTCCAGTTAGCGGGGAATTCGAGTTATCCGAGTTCGAGTTAACCGAGTTAAAATGACTGAAAAGTGGGGTCAAATCCAGGGAAAATGGGATTCAGTTCGAGTTAGCGGGGGAGTTCGAGTTATCCGAGTTCGAGTTACCGGGGTTCTACTGTAGTTCGTCGTCGCTCGTAGTTCGTCGAGTGTCGCCAGGTAGCGTGATAGTTGTGTTATTTTGAACAAAATATGCTGTTCCTCGTCAAATGAAACCCGGAATTCTCAAGTTAACTATTAGAAGAGGCCAAAGCAACTTTAGCATTGTCTTTATTTTTGTTAGCTGCGAAGAAAAAGGCTCCTACCGTGTCGTTTCGGTAGGGCAGCTCAGTTTTGACTGCCGCTCGTACTGCGGGCGCAGCTGCCATATGCATGGTAAGGTAGACTTTTTCCTGTTCAATTTCTTTGAATCCCTCGTCCCATCGTCCGTACATTCCAAACTTGGGTCTGTCCGATTTTGCTGGCAACATGAAGCATCGATTATTATGCTTTCGTCTGTTATACGTCACCATGAATTCCTAACATAAACGAATTGAGGTACCGGGCCTTCGACTATGCCAATATCATGACTGGGTGTGAGTCTAGGGTATTGTGCCTTCAAGTTATTGCAAAAATTCCAATCTTTTCCGGACAAATTTATTTCGTTTTCGGGTTCATGTTTGGTGAAATTGTGTAAAAACATACGTTAGAAGTGAACAAGTGTTACGAATGCAATCAAACTACATTAGTTTTATATTTATTGGACTTATTGGTCCACTTTTCCTGACACTCGCTAATTGGTCAAAAAACGATTGTGACAATTTAGTTGGAAATAAAGTGCTGAAAAAAAAAATACGGCATTCTTTTGTAAATACAAATGATGCAAGAGACCGCAAACGAAAATGCTGCTGGTATACGTAGGATCTGTAAAAAATCTGATCAGCCAAAAATAGAAACATAACAATGAAGCAAGGCTGATTACTACGTAGAAAGCTTAACGCGGCAACGACGTCATAATGGAGTCCAAACTGAAAGCCAAGAATTGCAACTGTGTACAGCTGTTTTGACCTGGTGGGTCTCATCAGCACGATGTAGCAGCAAAAAATAGAACAACCGGCTTGGGGACCGATTGTCTACGTTATGCTCATGGCAGTGACCTCATCAGATGAAATTAACAAATCGAATGTACGTGGTTTAGCGTTGTCTGTACTCTTATCGACAACGATCATTATCACAGTATCAACGTCAAAGAAAATGTTTTTTTTCAGAGCGTGACCAGGAGCGTGACACACTGACGCGGGCAGCGTTGTCTGGACTCTTATCGACAACGGCAAATTAGCCAATCAGATTGCGAGACTAGTCAGAGCAATTGTGCTAAAACATTTAATAGACAATCGGTCCCCAAGCCAGTTTTTCTACTTTTGCTGCTTCACCGTGCTCACGACACCCAACCAGGTCGAAACAGCTGTCCACGGTTGCAATTCTTAGCTTTCAGTTTGGGCTCTATCGTGTCGTTGTCCGCAGTAAGCTTTCTACGTAGTGATCAGCCTTGCTTCATTATTATAAACTCTTTTGTATAATTTTTTAAGAATAATTAAGATAGAGGGAAAGAAAAAAGAAAGCACTTTAGGGGGCCTTCCACGGGGGTAGCATGTTCCCTTTCCCTTGAAAATTTCAGTTTTTCCCTTTGTTCCCTATTAATAAATTCAATTGTGTCGTAAAATTTTTCGTTTAAGTTGTCCTATTCCCTTGAAAAATTTGATCATATTCCCTTGTTCCTAAAAAACCCCCCTGGGAGGCTCTCACTTTACTCCATGTAACGCTGAATAACGTACGCTGTGTTGCGGTGTGATGTAAGCCAAATTGTATAAATATATCATTATAACGGAACGTCTGTCTAAACGTATACGTAACCATTTTGAAACGTTCTCTTGTTTGGAGTGAAGTTGAAAGATGAAAGTGTCTCTTATCTATCGACAAGCATGTAACTTCATTTTGGGCTTCATTAAATTTACTCTATTGCAATTGTTAACAATTGAGGTGACCTTCGCTATAAGCCTGGTGGTTTTTTTGTAGGTCTCCTCGCCGTCTTTTTGTTTGTTACTGTATATGGGCTTTCTTTATTTATGGTGTGGCAGATAAAACATGATAATGATGATGATGATGATGACGATGACGATGATAATGATGATGATGATGATAAATTATAACTCAATAGAAACGCAGAGAAAATGTTATCTATTTTTTTCAGAAAACACTATGAGAAAAACAAAGCAAAATCATTCGTTTATTTTGATTGCGATAATATAATATGCTTGTGCCATCATCGCATGTGTTTAAATCAGGATACAAAACAACGGATTTCTTTTCGAGTTTAAAAAAGTAAGAATTTCTACACATACTAGTTAAGTTTAAGAATAGCCGGTGGCCGGTGTGCGAAAAATACGAAAGCTCTAAGGGCTCTGTGAATCGTTGAAACTCAATAAATAAATTCATGTAATGTTCAGTTTTACGTGCGCCGCTACAAGGTTAATATAAAGAAGTGAACAATGAAGGCGGTGCATATACAGTGTTTATGTCTCGGGTAAGAGACGTTGCAAGAAGACCCTTTAAACGGTATAGCTTGACAAGCTGGTTTTGTTGGAGAGAAGAGGTTCTTCTGCACCAGGATCTGAATGGTACTGACTCACGGAATCGGAGAAGAAAAGCTCTTCTCGACGGCTTTCTTCAGGGTTTAGAGAAATCTCTGGCGCCCTACGAAAGAAAAATAAAAACAATCGCCTTAGCAGGAACCTCATCTACATTCTCGTGCCCAGAGCTTCCAGTTCTTTTGGTCACGTGATCGGCGAACTTGTAACAAGAGTTACACTGGGGACGAGAATGCCTTATCTCAAAGTTCTTTCTGTCATGCGCATTGCATATTTTCGGCTTAACATGGTGATCAATGACCAATGAGCATGACCGACTGAAAACGTTTGTCCAAGAGCAAGTAGAGACGTTAACGATAAGAAAAGTAAGTAGTCACTAGTTAAGAAATATTGCTACGGTGTCATGATCATCAGTGTAAATGCGATGTGGTTTTTCGTTGTTATAAATATGGGGGAACTCCCATATATTCTGTTAAGGAAAATCACAGCTCGTCGTTTTTAGCAGATAACCTTTCTTTTCACGTTTAATGTCCAAAAGGTGATGGCTTGCCAATGTACTCTTTTCTACCTATCGTCGGTTTGGACAACAACCATTTTTAAGGATAATTTTTCAGTAAATTGTAAAATAAAGGTAAAATAAGGTAATTCTTTTCTTACCCCATGTTGTAGGCAAAAATGGCGGGAACCATGATTGCCAGTGCGCCGATGCTAAACCAAGTGCTCACATGACCCTCAGGGTGCCACTTGAACGGTGATTCGTTGAACAAAGTCCAGAAAAGAAAACCCAGAGGAGTAACTAGGGACTAACAAAAAATGGCAAAGGACATCATAATCTTATCACCGTTTAGCTTATGGACAGCTAGGTGCAGAATAAGTTTAACACACCTGAAAATTGGTCATATACCCTCCAAAGCAGCCCATCCCCCTTAGATGCCAAAGCTTAATCGTTTGCCTGCTCACTGAGCCCACCTCAGGAAGATTTTTTGCTGTTGCGACAGAAAGTTGTTAGAGAAATTTGGTCCAACTTAGGAACACCACGCGGTAATGACCTTGTCTCGCACGGTTTACGTTGTAGAAACCTTGCAAGAAGTCACGAAAGCAGCCCCACTATATGCGTTGCATATGCTCCAGAAAACAACCTTCCGAACAACTTCGCAACGGCTTGTTAAAACAGAGAAACAAAGTGGGAAGAGATATTGCTTAGTATAATACTTTAAACTGTGATAGGCGCTAACTAGTGTGTAATGTGTAATACGGATCAAGCGGTTTGGCTTCGAACCCTAGAAAAGATCTCTGTGTTGTGTTCTTGGGCAAAACACTTTTGTCTCACAGTGCCTCCCTCTGTCCCGTTGTATAAATGGGTACTGGGAATTTAAGAGATTTAAAGGGGGGAGGAGGGGGGGTAGGGGTAACCCTGCGATGGAGTAGCATCCCATTCACGGGGAACAGGAATATACCTAGTCGCGTTACGCTACGGAAAACGGCGGAGATAAGCGCCTGCCTCACGGGCGACTATGCCCAAAATGGACTTAATATTTTAAACAGAGGAAAATAAGGCGATCTCTTCTACAGTTCAAGACCTTTACTGAAGTAATTAAATAACGTCATCTTGTTTTATATCGTTTGTTCTTACTACGACAATGGCCACCCAAGTAGCTCCCTCCGTGTGTCTTAACAGATTTGCTGATCCAGCATAAGCACAAACGTACATGAGAATAAACATGGTTCCTCTGATGCCACATGTGGAATCACAACCTGCTGCGCCAAAGAAACATTGAACTCCAAACCACCAACTACAAAAGAAAGATAGGACTTCAATTAGACTGAGCTAGGGTCCCAAACGAGGATTCTTGTGGAATTCGTAGGCCTTTATCTTCTCAAACTCACTAAAACAATTAACTGTTGGTTCTTGTCCACGATAGGCTCAATGTCTAGTCAAATTGCGAGCCTTCGTTCTTTGCCCCAGACCACCACTCCGATGATAGCTAAACTCCAAAAATGGCTAGAAATCGAGCTATGTCCCTGGAGACCTGCGACTACCAGAATGAGATCCTAGAATATATTTTTCTCTTTAATGAATTGGCGAACAGACAAAATATTTAAAGAAGAAAACATACTTTCTTCCAAACTCGCTGATACTGTCAACGTTTCCATACCAAGGCAGAATATCTAGCCAGAAAAGCAAACCAACACAAAGAAGTTGATATAAAGAGGTCCAGAACAGGAAGTAAACCAAGTTGATTCTTCTTCTCGATATTTGGTTTTCCATCTTCACTCCTCGTTCAATGATGACATTCATAACGGTTGCGGGTACCTAGAAATGTCAGAGGAAAAAACCTAGAGCTCGAGCCGTTTATACCACGTTACAGTGAGATAGCGCGGGTGATTTGAGCGGCCTGGGTTCGAGCCCTGACCAGGGTCATCGCGTCGTATTCTGCCTCCCAATTCAAATACGTTTCCTGACTGGAGGAGAACGTGTCACCTGCGTGGGTCAAACCTCATTAACTCCCAAGGGCGAACAAAACTCACTAACTCCCCAGGGAAGAAGACAACCTGAACTTTCGACTCGCACGTGATCAGGCCGTGCTCCTTGAAACCGCGGCCAATTTGTGAGTCAGCCGGCGTCAAGCAAACGATTCTTTCGCAGTTTTTTTTTTTTCTTTCTATTTTTGAGTTGGGAGGTATAACAAAATACTTAATGACTGGCCCCGCGCCGGGAAACAGGGAGTTTTGTTTCCCCTCGACCTCAATGTTCCCCTCGGCTTTGCCTCGGGAGAAGGGTCACGGGGAAACAAAACTCACTGCTTCCCTTGAGGCCAGTTATTAAGTGCTAATTACTCACACAGTGCTTCTCTCCACCCAGGTGTATAAAAAAGGTAATAGCGGAGCTCCGGCGGCCTCAAGGGCCACCAAGCGGAGCCCCATACCCATATAGGAAAGAAAAGGAAACCCATGAATTGATTTTCTCATGATTATCATGGCTAGCGGTGGGCGCGTACGAACGACGACGACGGAGTCCCGCAAGATGGCGGCCATGCTCCAGCTAAAACGTTAACAGAGACATGCAGCCTTGATTTATAGCCTCCTTCTTAGATATTGGACATCCATGTTATGGTCAATTGACACCTGTCAAAACAAGGTATCCGCTGACCAGTATCATGTGACCATATCGCGGGCTCAAGTTTTGAGCTCATAGCGGTAACGTGTTTTTTTTTTTAGTTGACCGCTGATCAAGAAGTGGTTTTCTATTGGATCACGGGCTCATGTTAAGTTAACTTGTTGTAAACGGGGCCGGGTTGTTCGGAAGCCGGTTAACGCTAACCCAGGATTAAAAGTTAACAGAAGTATAAATAATTATTGTATACAAATGTTCTGTTTTGTGTATTTTGAGATTATTCAAACTCAAAACAGAAGGCCAAACAATATATAAAACCTCACTGCAAAGTTACAATACTAAAATCAAAATTTTCGCTTAAGCTAGGTTATCTTAACCGGGCTTTGAACAACCCAGCCCAGGAGCTCCGTTNGGGGGGGGGGGGAGGAGGGTAACCCTGGGATTGATCATCTAGCGAGAAGTACAAATACTAGTCGCTTCATGTTACAGAATCCGAGATCAGCTTGGGCCGAATGGGCCACTGGCCTGACGCAGAATTTATCTTGCCCATATGACAATGAAGAAATAAAAAAGCTTATTATATAGCTAGCTCCGCGAGCGGGCAAGATGAATCAAATCCTGCGCTCTCATTGGCTACCCGGGCGGGCAAGATGGGGCTATCTTGCTCGCTTGGGACTACCCGCCGTGTCCCGCGAGAAAAATTTCCCCGAAAGCAATATAATAAATCCTTTATTGCCCAAGCTTGTTCGGCCAAGATGGCTGGATATTGGCCTCGTTCTTTTTTTGCGAGTTTATGGACCTCGACTCCGTCTCGGTCCATAAACTCGCAAAAAAAAGAACGTAGCCAATATCCAGCCATCTTGACCTCACACTTGGTCAATAACCCATATATTTTACTTTTACAATGAGAATCAATTCGGGAAGTCGCCTTTTGCCTCCCTATCTAAAAGATTCTTTGTGCGAAACCATTCATGTGAAAATGCGTTCCGCCTACAGGTTCATTTTCATGCAAATCAAACTCATTTTCATGTGAAAGATTTTGCATCATGACTCGTTTTGAAGCAGAGGCACAAGATAACAACCGAAATGCGTATGTGTACAAATTACTTACAAATCCAAGCATGAAAATGAGAGGCCACATCACTCTTGAAACGCCATGAGCTTCGGTTTTTGTTTTCCCTGCTTTAGGATCAACAGCGGGAAAAATTGTTGGAATGAGGCAAACAAAAAGACCGACAACTACAGCGAGACCACAGAGCAGCTTTAGAAGTGTCGGCCTCTTTCGTACGATGAGCACCCTGTGGAAAAAAATAACAAAACGATCTTAGACACTGCGGCACGACGGTGGACTGTCTGCTAAAAAGACCATTAGTTCGTGCCTGTGAAATGCTACCTCTTCGCCACACAGAATACATACTTTATGATCTGTCAAGGGAAACTTATGAAATAGTCATCTGTTTTTCAACAGCGCGATTTCTGAAAACGAAAAGGCTGGTGCTAAAGGAATCGCCACCTTCGGCTCGGTTCGGTTCGGTTCGGTTCGGTTCGGTACCTTCCTGTGCCGCATAGATCGGTTTTCAATTGAGACTAAAACCAAAACCAAAGTATTGACTCTGGGCAATCACAAAGGATATAGACTATCCAATAAACCAATCAAAACTCGAAGCGGATACATGTAGGTGACGCGAAGCGCTGGAAAACGTATGTGAGCGAGACTCGATTGGTTTTGGTTTTACTCCTGATTGGATGAAAGCTGGCATGATTTGTTTTTTAGGCCAAGCGTGACTCAAGCGTGTAGCGTTGTAATGCAAAACCAATTACTTTTCGACACAAATAAAAACAACTCTAGTTTCTGATGCGGCTCAAAATCATTTAATATCACATCAAAGCAGAGCAATGTATTGCCTTTGGAATAAGGCTAAACAAATGTTTGATCATCGCACAGCTTGTTCATTGCCTAGCTGTGATTGCTAACGGAAAAACTCACGAGTCAAGTTGCGTTTTAGGTCGCTCCTTCTTAGGAATGCACTTCCTGACAACCGTGAAACTTTACTCCTACTTTTGGAAGTGGCCACTAATCGCGGACTTTGTTTTCGAGAATCTTTTCTATAACGAAATGATCAGTTTACCATTCCGTTTTCAATAGGGAGCTTAGGCAAACCATGACGACGACGGCAACGAGAGCGTAACAAAGCAAAACGTTAAATGAGGAAAACATGTGCACGTGCGTCATAAATCTTAGTACATTTCTTTGCCGTTCTCTGCGAAACAACAACGTGATATGAGCAAGTTCTGCGTAGTCTGGGGAACGCGAACGACGACGGCTTATATGTTTTTCGTATTTCCATTTGGAATTGAACGCTGTCATTACATATTTTACCTGAGCAAGTTTATTTTCCATTTTCTGTCAGTTAAACAAACACATCGACACAAAAAGAACAAAGTTTTATTGGAATGGGGTAATTGAGTGCCATTCGACTGCCTCCTGCAACTCATAGAATGACTACATCAAGCCATCCGTGGGCTTAAAATAATGAATTGCAGAGTCGGGGCTACTCCCTTATATGGGCCATATAGGTATGTCCGGTCTTTAAGGGTAGGGTTTTCAACCGCTTTGGTCATAAATAGGGTATCGATTTTGGCCACTTTGGTCTTAAATAGGTTTTGGTTTTAGCACTCTAGTCTTGAATTGGGTATACTTCTTAGAAGAAGCTACTTTTTCATTACTATCAATAAGACCATCAACAAAAGCCCTTCATAACTTATGTTTACGGCAACTGTGCCAGCCGCATAGGTCATAAATATAGGGTATCAAATTTTTGGTCAGGTCATAAATAGGGTAGCAAAAATCGCAGATTTTGATCATATATAGGGTAAGGGTTTTGGGAAGTGGGCAGCACACCCCCACCCATCTTTTCTGTGAGTACCTCCTCCCCCACCCCCCTGCCAGGATTGCAGTAATATGAGGTAAGGACGTAAGACTGGCTTCCACTGTAATACAATGGAAGCCCGTCTTACGTCCTTACCTCGTTAAATACGGCCACTTTATTCTGGCCCGAATAAAAACTCAGTCAGTCATTCATTTTGTTACTTAAAGAACCCCTTTAATTCGGCCACCCCGTAAATACGGCCGGAGTTTTGTGGTCCGTTGGTGACGGATTAACGGGGTTCTGCGCGCGTGACGCGGGATACACCGTGTGATTTCCGTCTAGCATCGCGTGATGCCTGCATGTCAAACTACGGCGCTTTCCACATTCGCATCAATTTGGGCCCCGTCCATAGAACGGCGGAGGAATTTGAAAACGGAGGTTTCACTCTGAAAACGCATCAAATGTTTTCCGTCCTCAACTAAGCCTGAAAAATTTCAAAACGCAATAATCACCGGTCATTTTGGATTTGTTTTACCGCGAGGAAACATCGGTCAGGGAAATCACGTGATTACATAACCAGGAGCCGTAATCGGGGACGGAAACCGTAAGCGCGCGCTATTTCTAGTTTTGGGGCTGTCCCTATGATATGGGACAATTTTTCTATTTTTAGAACAAATTGCGTCATCATGTGCGGTACACGCGCGTACACGCTGCGAGGATTTTTGCGGATGTAGCGCGGGGGATTGGCTTTCGAAATTTCCGAAATGTTTGATGCTTTTGGCCCACAACTCAATACGTTCATGTCTGTTGGAATTTTACTTCAGAATTTTCGTCGTAAGCTGCCCCAGTTTGAGTGAAGTAAGACAGTGTCACTGACCATGTTATGTTCCGCTGCTTCTTTTACAAGAGCTCCGCATTTAATACTCCACCCTAAGTTTCACATATGTTGAAGATTAACAGCTTTTCCATACCTCAGCAAGAAAACTAGTTGGATATTATTATTTTTGGATATAGCAGCGTTTCAGGACTACAAAGTTTCCCTCCTCTTGCCACATGCTTGCGAGGATTTCGCCAGAGTCTATCGCGACCGAAAAGTAGAAAAAAAATAATTGCAAGTTTCGCCTGAATTGTAAGCAACGCTTGATGTTTTATTAAGGCTCAATAAGTGCCAATGAAGTTTATGTCTGTAGATGCTGCTGAGGTTTGTTTGTGTAAAAATTCAATAAGTTGTCTGTCGTTTGTCGATGAATAAGAGCGCCAGCCGATGTGTGTTTTGTACAGTCAGTAAAACATGACAAATTGGACTCCCGCACTTTCGCGTGAAAACGTACATCGAACTCAGATAATATCTCTAGTTTTTAAATATGTTTAAGGTTGATAAATGTTTGAGAACATATTAAAAGCTTAGCTCAAAATATGTGAATACAGCAGAAATAATCGGCAAAGTTACGATGACGCTTTTTGTAATCAACTCGAACAATGATTTCGATTTTGTTGGTTGAGTTATCACAACTCCTTGTCTATTTTATTTTCGCAGTGTAAAATTTCACTATGTTAAAGAAACTCAGATGATGTTAGCAGAGGATTTCGCTGCACCAATGTTGCAACTCATTCATAGACAATTAGCATGCGCACATGACTTTCACCCCTCTGTACATGACTCGCAAACAGGGAACCTAAGCTAAGTACAACGGTAACAGCAACGAGAACGTCACATCAAAGGCTTAATGAGTAAAACAGTGGCAGTGAACGTTGTAAATCTTTGTACATCTACATTTCGTAACCATCCTGTGCAAAACAACGTCTCTGTATTTCGCAAAACGCGAACAACGGCGGGCAATTTTTCGTATTTTCATTTGGAATTGAACGATGGCATTACATATTAAGCTAGAGTTAGTTCTGAGGTGGACAGACGTACTGAACAGGTCTAGGCATCTGCGAAATTCGACGGGAAAATGTAAATTCATGTTTTTTTCTCCTAGGTGTCGTCTTTGACGTTGCCGTTGTCGTTGCTTAATGCATTCCCACATAGTCTTTTATATTACTTTTGAAATAAAGAAATGGTTAACAAATATTTTATTTACTTAATTAAACATTCATTGAGCGAAATTTATGAAACCTACCTGCGAACTTTTGTTTACAATACGAACGAATCGAACTGTTGTAGGGTACAAGCATAATTACGTCACGCCATCCGCGGGCTTAAAATAATGAATTGCAGTATACAGTGGAAGCCCGTCTTACGTCCTTACCACGTTAAATACGGCCACTTTTTTCTGGCCCGAATAAAAACTCAGTCAGTCATTCATTTTGTTACTTAAAGAACCCCTTTAATTCGGCCACTCCGTAAATACGGCCGGAGTTTTGTGGCCCGTTGGTGACGGATTAACGGGGTTTTGCACGCGTGACGCGGGATACATCGCGTGACTTCCGTCAGGTATCCCTGCGAATGTCAAACTTCGGCACTTTCCACGTTCACATCAATTTGGGCCCCGTCCATAGTACGGCGAAGGAATTTGAAAACGGAGGTTTCACTCTGAAAACGCATCAAATGTTTTCCGTCCACAACTAAGCCTGAAAAATTTCAAAACGCAATAATCACCGGTCATTTTGGATTTGTTTTACCGCGAGGAAACATCAGTCAGGGAAATCACATGATTATCATAACGCTATCGTTTTGAAAAGCTTCGTTTTCAAAATATTTTTTGTCCACACGTAAAAAAAAAAGCCGGCGTGTTCAAATTCCTCCGGTTTGAAGAGCGCTTTCGAAAAGCTCCGTTTTCATGACGGATCAGAGTGGACGGTAGGCCTAACCTTAGAAATAAAGCTACGTTTTCAAATTTCTCCGGCGTAGTGTGGACCGGCTAATCACTCACCTGAATAATATGGTTAAAGGAATCCCGAAGTTCCCGAGAATGGCCTGGAGATACGGCGGAGTTCTGGATCCCTTGCTCGCAAAGACAATCATCGCTCCGTTTAATGAATCACAGAGGCCGACTAGAAACAGCTGTAAGTGAGGAAAGCGCTTCTCCGTTTCACCGATATCTTGAGGCGAAAAGATTCGAATGAAAAGTGTCCCCAGTCCAAATATTACAACAAACGACAGACTTGCAAAGGAAAACACGAAATAACTGTCCACCGATCTCCCTGAAAGATTTTCATTTTCATTTGTAGAGTCGATCCACAGAGGCAACGAGACGGTTTGACCAACTGTTCCAACTACCGCGAAAAAAGAGAAAAACAAGTTTGCACAGAACAGAGGCATTTCCACACATCCTATTTTCGCCGTTTTCCGCGGTTTTTCATGAAGAGATGCTGGCCGCGAGGAAGTTGGGAGATCGGAGGCCACTCTTTGTGCATTTGGCTTGGAGACAGTGCTATTGGAAGAATCCATCCGTGGCAGGTTGCTGTAAATCCGGTGGCACTGAAAAATCAACTCACAGCGAAGTATTCTGTTTTTCTTTTTTTCTTCAGTGCCTCAGTTGCATCGCAAGATCAGTTCACGCACACGTTTTAACGAGCGCTTGCGCTCCTAGGTGTCGCGTGGTTAAATAAAGTATTGTATTGTATATCGTATTGTAGTTACTTATTTTGAGAAGATTTATTTGTGTCATACGAATCACATGACATGTAGGAACTGAATTTCAGACATCGCTGCACCAATGTTTCAACTCATTCAAAGGCAATCGGCATGCTAAAAATAACTATGGTGTGCACATGACTGTCACCACTCTGCACATGACACGCAAACAGTTAACTTAAGGACGTTCGCGCGAAAATTTGCCAACATCGATTTTTTTCTGAGACTTTTACCACTGTAAGATGATGAGTTAGCTTATGTCAGAGAGGTAAAAAAATGGGTGATCACCGACTTCGTTCTGGAAAGAACATCGGGCTTCGTTAGCGAATAAGGCCACAGTGTCTGTAAGCCCAAAAATATTGCAATTAGATCTTTGAAGTGAAATTTTCTCTGCCAAATATTGTTTCAGTGGACTTATCAAGTGAATTTAGTCAACTGGTGAGGCTCCTTAAAGAACAAGTTCACAGTTAGCGACCATAGTTTACGGGCCTTGCAGCCGCAAGATGGCAGGATTCGATGTCCCGTGGACAGAAATCTTGAAATTTTTTTAACTTCCCACATTGATTTTTTTTCATTTTTGGACAATGGAGATAATTGTAAATAAGATCTGTTTCTGGAAAGAAACGTAGGGGTCACCAAACGTCCAAGATCGTTAAATCCAGGCAAAGCCATAGCAATGGCCATCTGTCCTATCATTTTGTTACTTAGCGCGCTCTCATGCATGACATGGCATGTGAATTTGCGTGCGCAGTAAGGACGCGCAGAAACAATTAGTGCGAACGTCCTTAAGCTAAGCACGACGGTAAAGAAATAAAGAAATGGTTAACAAGTATTTTCTTCAGTTAATTAAGCATTCATCGGGCGAAATTTATTAAACCTGACTGCGAACTATTCTTTGTAACACGAACGAATTGACCTGTTATAGGGTACAAGCTTAATGAGGTGACTGGCTTAGCACTATGCCATCACTCACAGAGGACGAGTCTACGGTTCATGTATGTCATGTGCTTTTATCACCTTTGTACCTTCAAGGTGCTGCTAAAACTGCACCATTTTCAAGTCAAATTTATTTGGTTTTCGGGTTTACTGTTTGTTGAAATCATATTTAATGGAGGGGAATGCTTATGAAACCCGACAAAGTTCTTTGTTGTATGTTTTTATTCGCTGTTTTGGCCTTGACCGTGCATAAAACACAATAGTTGTTTTCTACTGACTGAAGAACCAACCAATAAAAACGTTTCGGTTACATAATTCATGCAAAAGATTGTGCACAGTCGTGGACCTTCCAACATAAATCTTGGCGTCTTTTTTTCTTTTTTTTTTTTTTTTTTTTTTGCTCCTTTGAAGTTTGCAGGGCTTAATAACCATTCCCCTCTATTAACTAGGGTGAAATTGAGTAAAACCATACGATACAAGTAAACAACTGCTACAAATGTAATCAAACTGTATTATTTCTATTTATTGGTCCATTTTTCAACGCACGCTGATTGATCAAAACGATCGGAAATAAAAATGGCGTTCTTTCGTAAAATTAAAAAGGAAAAACACTAAAATCCAGGTTGCAAAGCTTTCTAGCTGACATATCGCTAAATATCGCTGTGTTGCGCAGTAATGCAAGACAAGTTCTATAAATATATACTTCTGTGTAAACATAGCCATTTTAAAAACGATCTCCTTTTTAACTCTTTTTGGAGTGGAGGAGAAAGATGAAACTGTCCCTTAAAGAAAATGCTTTCTATTTTTCTTTCCAGAAAACACCGGGAGAAAGATAAAACCATTGGTTTATTTTGATTGTCTTGTGTAGTTTGGTTACGTCACCATTGCGTCAACTGCTCATGCTAGTCTTGTGTTTCTATCAGGTTACAAAACAATGGATTCTCTACCGAGTTATAAAAGTAAGGATTTTAGCGCAAGTTTTCTTACGAGATGTTTCCTAAATTGATGCAAGTCACTTGTTTCTTGCAATGGTTTCAAAGTAGCACACCATTTGCAGTATAAAATTATCGAAAGGTGTTCTTTTTTTATAAAATATTCATCACTTCTTAGTTCTACTGTCTCTTAAAAAAAGCACTTCCTAAGAAATAAATAAATTAGTTCTAATTATTCATGTTCAGCGAGAATTGCCATATTTGTGAGTACTTATTGCTGTCACAGTTGTCGATAGTCACGTGTTGTCCGCTCTTGACGTCTTTGCTGTCCAGGCAGAGTCCTGACTGTTTGTGACGCAGTGTGCGTTGAGGTGTGTGCTCCCACAACTGAGAAACAAATAGACACAAATAAGTCTGTAAACAGACTCTCCAGAGGATGGAGGGTTGGGGCGGGGGGGAGGGGGAGGTTGGGATTGGGGGTTTAAGAAACCCCTCCTATTCTATTCCTATACCCCCTCTCTCCGCTCTTTACCCTTCACGCTTCCCTTTCAGTATATCCACGATAACTAGGGGTAATGGCCCGGACCCTTCTGTCCTACGACATTTTTTGTGACGCAACCTCGATCCCAGGCTCTCTATCCTCAACGACAAAGGAGGCAAAGGAGGGAAAACCTGGGATCGAGATTATTTGTGACGTACACGACAGTCGTAAATGAGTAGTAGGTTTGATTTACACGAAGCAATTCATGCAGTAGGCCTGTCGTAAGCTTATCACGTGCGACAAAGTCGTACCATGTAAATCGACCCTTAGGGACACTTCCTTTTTTTAGTATGGTTACCGAATTTGTTATACCCAAAAAGTGCAAGTCACAACCCTTGCCATGCTTACATCCCTCCCTACCACTACACCGCCACATAATTACTCTCGCAGTGCTTCTCTCCACCCACGTGTAAAATGGCTACCGACGCGAATTGTAAGCAAGGGTACCCTGACAAAACATTGCAGGATAATTTGCGATAGCACTATTATTAACTATTATTATCTCTGTTCCTTATTGTCTTGCAGCTGTTTTGCTTATTAATAAACTGTGACATTCATTAAAATACGTTCTAATACTGAGGATGAAAATTAGCCTTGCATTTCCGTGGAATACTATGCTCAGAAACTTCGCTACCACAGGATAACCAACCTGTTTGTCGTCGTTGTCTCGACAGCCCTCTATAGCTACTGGCTTCCCAGGAGCGGAGTCTTTTAATGCCAAGCACATGTCACGATGGCGGACGAAGTTGGTTTTCGTTAGAGCCCATTCCTAGAGAAAAACATACGAACTGTTTGGAGAAGTAGACAACAGTCCAAACTTACATTATTAAAAACTGGATCATTGGATACTGTAATTCAAGAGTTTTCATTGGCTTAGCTAACATGGCATGAGACAGTAGACCAATTGTTGGGGAATTTCCAAAAAAAATTTCCTGCACTGCAAAAACTGCTGAAGGCACTGAGAGCCAAGGGGAGAAAAATCGAGCGAGTGCTTTCTACCATCTAGGTCCTATTTTTGAAGTTACAAAAATTCCTGTACACGTTTTTGCCCGCCAAAATCAATCATGCAAAACCTAAAAGTGAGAGAAACATTTGAGACTAATGTTTTGAGAGCTCATTAATTTCTATGTGCACGCAAAGTGTCCAAGCACGGTACCCGACCTCGATTCTCGCTGGGCAATAATGTGAACACGCCCTTTTTCCAAGTACTCACANAAAATAATGGTCCGTCCCTTGCAGCACAGGGGAGGCGCAGTGGCCTCGTAGTTAGTGCGCTCGTCTCCAGATTGAGCGGTCCGGGTTAGAGCCCCAGCCGGGGACATTGTGTTGTGTTCTTGGCCAAGACACTTTACTCCCACAGTGCCTCTCTCCACCCAGGTGTATAAATGGGTACCGGCGAACCTAATGCTGGGGGTAACCCTGTGATGGTGTAGCATATCATCTAGGGGGGAGTAGAAATACTCCTAGTCGCTTCCTGCTACAGAAACCGGAGAAAAGCGCCACCCTTACAGCAAAGGATTTGTTTGTCACGCCATGAAGTAACACAATACCTGATTTCCTGCCTGTCCGTGACAGTCAAACATGCCGACAGTACCACCGGCTTGGCTACCAAGTGTATCCAGACATTTCTTTCCTTGTTTCAGTTCACCGAATGATATATCTTGAGACTCCGGAACTCTGCAATGAGAACAGGAAGGACTTGGGAAATAGATTACGATAAACTACAACTACTTGATTTTCAAATGTTCTAAGAGAAGAAGTGACATATCGCAAAAAGAAGGGACGAGTAACTAGGAAGAGAAGTTATCTTAACTTTGACATGAACATTCCGACGTAGTGTTGAAGCTCTGTCAGCAATGGCAGAATCAATGCGTAAAGTTCAAGTTAATCTTCAACTTTACAACATGTTTAGGATTAAAAGTTATTCGAAGTAAAATGTTATCAAAACGTTTGTCACTTCTTACGTTTTGTGTAGTTTGAGCTTAGTCAAGCTCAAAACTGAAGGACGGACAATATTTCATAAACAGAAAACCCCACAGAAAAAGTAGAAAACTAAAAGCAAAATGCTTGCTAATCCTGGGTTAATTTAAACAGGCTTTGAACGACTCGGCCCAGGGGCCCGTTTTTCGAAGGTCCCGAAAGCCGTAGCAAAGTCTCAAACCTGATGATTACAGAGCTGTTTTACTCACAAATTCTTGATATAAACAGAGGTTCCATTCCGTACAAGAGGTTTCATGCGTATACACCTGTCCGTCTTTAAATACCGGTTAACTAAAAATCGCTTTTCGGGCCCGAAAGGTTTCCGGGGCTTTCGAGAAACAGGCCCCAGGTCTTCAGTTCAAACACCAGAGTATTTGAGCAAGATCTGTATAACGACTACCTTATTACGTGTTATTATATGGCTAGCTCCGTGAGCGGGCAAGATGAATCAGATCCTGCGCTCAGATTGGCTACCCGAGCCGGCAAGATGGAGCTATCTTGCCCGCTCGGGACTACCCGCCGTGTCCCGCAAGAAAAATTTCCCCGAAAGCCATATAATAAATCCTTTATTGACCAAGCTNCTCGGTCCATAAACACGCAAAAAAAGAACTTGGCCAATATCCAGCCATCTTGACCTCACACTTGGTCAATACCCCATACATATTTTCGCGACACATAAATTTCGCGAATTTCGCGATTTAAAAAAAAATCGCGAAATTCAAGTGACGCGAACAACAAATGTAGCGAACATAACATGACGCGAAAATTAAGTGACTCACATTATGTTACTGTTAACACACAGTTCAGCCGTTGCGTTTTTGTCACTTTAGACGTTACTATAATTATATACTGAACCTTTCATAAAGTCGGCTTACTAATTCAAGGTCATGTTTAAGTGAAGTACTCGAAAACGCGAAGTTATAAAGTCAGTCAAAATACAAAATTTGTGCCAAATCGCGGAATTTAAGTGTCGCGAAATATGCGCACTTCAAAATCGCGAAATAAACGTGTTGCGAAAATTTCATGTAATAAGGTATTAAACCAAAAATTTCAAGCGAACGAATCATTAGCCTGCTAAGCAGACGTTCTTTAGGCTCGTCACGCAATCTTCCTCCTTCACGAACGTTCGTGGAAGAGGAAGATTGCGTCAAACTTACTGAAGTTCAGGATAGACGTTCTCCAAATACCACTTGAATGACTTGCATTGAAGACGCTCTCGCAGCTCTTTCCTTGCCTTTATACTAAAAACCCGAAAAAAGAGGTGATTAAACAACAGCACTATAAGGAGTAAGAGTTCCTTTGATAAACAGCTAGCGCTCTCGAAACGTCAGCTCTTCCTTTTACTCAGCTTATATTGGAAGAGGTTCTACTCTCTCCGCCACTCAAAGAAGGGCTTGCATCCTCAGGTGCAAACAAAGAAATACTTCTATTATATTGTCCAAAGAGGAGGAAAGCTTTTCTCTAGCCCACTCGAAGAAGAACATCTATTCTCTCGGCCAATCACGGAGGATCTTCTAAAACACTTCTCTTCTTTCATCCGATCAAAGA